AACGTGCGACTCTGACAGTCTCTCCATAAAAAAGAAAAAAAAAGAAGAAAAAAGGAAAAGGAAGAGAGAGAGAGAGAGAGAGAGAGAGAGAGAGAGAGAGACTTTTCATCTCGCATTTTTCTCTCCGCTCGCATGCACGCAAAAGTTGGTCCTGCGATTCGGAGCGATAATATCAATATTATTCGCCAAACTCGTCGCGGGTGAAAACCTGGAAAATTGTACAAACTACTACCATCATTGGAGAAAGAGAATAAATAGTCTGTACTACAAGTTTACCTATTACTATTATTTCTCTCTCCGCTTCATTTTGCCGACTTACAGCTGAAACCCCTTCCCCTCTTTTTCTCTCTTTACATTTCTATTTAATTTAAGTCCATAACCCGCAAAGTCCGCCTCGCGTGTGAAGTCTTGCTGCAAGCGAGCAGCTCGCAACACGCAACACGTACACGCGCCAAAGTTGGCCGCTCAGGTGATTCTTGTGCAGCAAGTCGCAAGTCTACATTATTACGTGTACATTATTGTTGCGCGTCTATCGTGGTCACGTTGTCGAGCGTGCACGACGTAAGCCCTGCGGCGATCCTCGCTCCTGCCAATCCTGCAGCGTTGCAATTTACGGGGCCAGCGCGACGGCAAGCTCTCTGCTTGCGCTTCGCGAGGGCTTGACGCGCCGCTCTCTCGCGCGACTCGCTCTCGAGCTTGCTTCTCTAGGCTGGCTTTAGGATTTAAGCGCGTCGTGTACGCGCCGCGTCGTGCCCGAAGCAATACCGTATATCGATTGCGGGACGGCCGAGCCTCCGAACACATTACATGATTAAACCGCCCCAATGGCATAGCAACCGGCCTTGCAGCACTTACCTTATTAAAATATCCGCCACCCTCGCCGCGCCCTTTTAACAAAAGCGTAGCCGCGAACTACTCCGCTCTCTTTATTACCCAGAAACGCTTAACCGGGCCGGCGTCGATCGGCTCTCGGGATCGTGCGTAACGACGCGCGAGCATCTCGAGTCGAATCGAGCCGAACCTACCCCTTGCGATAGACGTTGGCCCTTACGTCGCGGTCGAGCTGAACTCGGAGACACACTGAACGCGATGTCCTTGCGCGATACATTATCACGTTAATCGCGTTTGGGATCGACACACTTGGCGTTCGAGAGACGTCAGGCTAAAATAGGGGGTAGTTTCTAGAATTGGGGTCTTATTGTTGGAGCAGACTAATAAGATCTCCACGAACATCGATCCCACTTGATTTGATAAAAATTCCGACCCTACGGTGAATAATCGCTGCGAAGAACCGACTGAAAATTTGCTTTACGTAACGCGACATGAATTTGATCAGAATGAGGTTTGCAGTTATGAATCTTGATATACACGCGACGCGAATTTAGAACATTATTTACAGCGATTGATTGCCGTCTCGCAGACATTCTTTCACGTCCAGGTGTACCATTGACGTCGGGAAAGCCTGATGTGAGCCTTAGCAACCCTAATCGGTAATCAAGAGCAACCCTAATCGGTAAACCCCTAACCTAACCGTGCTACTCTAGCCGTCTTCTCTTCGTAATGAACAGAAAATATAGATCGTACTCGGATCCTAAAAGGGTTAAGGGGTCATGAGCCTGTCAGGCTCTGTTTACGGATGGTGAACTTAATTATCGCCGAGGCCGCGATTCGCGCCGTGAATATTCACTCGGAAAATCGGTCGTCGACTCCGCGTCGTGCAACCGCGAGGTCGTCCTCCGAGAGCCGCGGACGTTCATAATTCAGGGAGCCTTCGACCTTGCTCCACTCACCGAGATCGACTGGATGAATAACTCAGAGGACAAGCCGGTGCGCGCAAGGCGCAGGAGGCAGGCGAAAGAGAAGGAGCATGAAAATGCCAAGCGGGGGTCGTTGAGGTGAGATGGGCGAGTGAGGGACTCGGGGGGACACCCCCGAACGCATGACACACTCGCTGTCGATATCTCCGCGATTATCCGACAGCGCAGCTGCAAGAACGGCCGGGAAAGTTGATGAACAAATTCAGGCCTGCGGAGATGCGGAAAGAAAATTGAAGAGTCGCCGTTTCGCCTCTTCATCCTCGCCCGATTATCGTTACGAGATACGATCTCATCGCATCGCGGTCTTTCGTCTCTACGAACGCTCGAGCGAGAAACGACGTCTATCTATCACGCGGGATAAACCGTTGACGCTTTCGAGGGACCAGTAACAAAGCTCGTTCCGCTGATAACACTTTACGCAAAAAGCAGCGGATATTTCTCTAGTCGTAAGTAAAGACCCGAAATGTTATCTCGCTCGATCGCAAGTACATGGCCCGCCGATGAAGAGTTAAGAAATACTCCACGTGATTTCGAGCGGCCCTCGCGGCGCGCCTTCGTCTACGACGAAGGGAACACGTGGCGCGTGTTGTTGCAACGAACGATTAAACGGCGCGGACTTGCGGCGCTGGTTTTATCGCGAGAGGAGCGAGAACGACCGTGTCAAGTCTATCTCGAAGGCGTTTCGTTGAGGGGGGAGATATCAAATGCACGATTTCTCGCGCATTTATATAAATGTCGAACGAAGAACGATAAACTTCGTCAGCGCAGCCGGTCAGTCACCTTGATTGTGTGAGCGTGCGAAGTGTGATATCCCGAGCTAACGTTGGGCCCAAACGTAACGTTGCGCTGTTAATTCTCCCACAATCGACGCGCGATCGCGCAGTCAGACGTGCGCTTATATTTTTGTCGCTGTTCATCAAGTCCGAGACGGACTGTATTCCACAAAATTAACGCGTCGATAATCAAATAAAGACGACGGTCTCACGGGGACGGGAGGAGGGAGTTAACAGGGACGTTAACGTCCGCGGTAATATCGAGTCTGACGAGACGGAAATAAACGGTCGAGGGAGAGAGAGAGAGAGAGAGAGAGAGAGAGAGAGAGAGAGAGAGAGAGAGAGAGAGAGGGAGAGAGAGAGGGAGAGAGAGAGGGAGAGAGAGAGAGAGAAATTTCGGGCGCGCTGACCGAATATAACGCGTTCTATGTAAATTACATGTTGCGCGACATCGTTAAACGTTGAGATCGTCAAGTTCATTCGAGCGGCCCAGCGAAGCTGACGGACGGCCTTCTATTTCGCATTTGACGCCAGACTTAATCTTACATCCATGTTGGATATAATCGTCGCACGACACACACTCGTCTCTCTGTTCCCTTAATATATAATTATTCTAAAGATAACGAGTCTTTCTCTCGTAATAGCCTCGCGAGGCGACGGAAAGAATAGCCGCGCCGCTCGGAGAAAGACGAAGAGAAACAACAACGCACGGAGAGTTAATCCCGGCGAATTGGGGTAGAGGGGGGGGGGGGTCGTCGCAAGTACCTCGTAGTAACAATTTTACAAACATTACGCCAACATTCGCGCGCTTGACGAGCTGTGAAAGAGCAGACGGTTTGTACATTGTAGATTAACTTCATGTGCAAAACCGTCCGCGATATCGCGAAACACTCAGTCGCGAGATTTGCAGACGACGATTTGATCGGCGAGATTTTCGCTTCGAAACTCTCGACTGACAGCGATCGAGCGCGTGACGTCGTTCGTCGTCGAAATATCATGTGGATTCGGAGATTTCGCGGGGTCGGCGGGGAAGAAAAGAAAAGAAGCACACAATACGCGACAGCGGCGCGAGCGCGATAGCTGCTCGGACGTTAATCTTATCTATCGCGCTGATCGAGAGCGCATTATCAAAAAGTGGCCACCGTTCACGTAATAGCCAGCGAGAATTTCAACCCCGACCGATGTTACGCGATATCGGCGTCGTCACCGTCGCCGTCGCGGTCGCCGTTGAAAACGACGTCGTGCGAAGCGCGGCCGTAAATCGAAGGATCGAAATTGCGATCGGGTCTCGCGATCGCAATTTGCCAGTCGCGATCGTTGAAGCGCTTCGTTACCGGCCGGCGACGTTAATCGCCGCGTTTCCGCGTGCAAATTGCCCTCGGCGTGCAATCGCCGCTTGCGCCGCTTCGGCCGGATAAAACGCGGCCGCGTTTTCCAAAGTCGCACGGACGTAACGAAAAACAGCACGATAATAATTAAATGGGGCCGACTCGGTGTTTGTGTTGGTAATGCATCTGATATTTACATTTCGCATTGAACGGGAGTTACGAGAAAAAAACAAAAGAGAGAGAGAGAGAGAGAGAGAGAGGAAGGGAGAGGGAGAGCGCAAAAAATACGTCTCTCTTTAAAATAACCCGGCGTAAAACCTTGAAATTGCATGTGCGGTGTATGGAATACCGAATAGTCGGATATTTCCAAACTCGCGTTTATTCTTTCAGCGACACGAGAGCATTGTCGAAATTACATCCTCCATAAATGTCAGCGCGTTGAATAATCGCCGTTGATAACGATCAACGACGACGACGACGACGAGGAAGGCGGCGGCGGCGGGAGGAGAGGAGCATGCCGCGCTAGAGCGATGCGTATTCGCAACGATGCATCATTCCGCTACTCTAATTTCTCTGATGTATCGCCTAAGAAACAGTAAATATAAATAAACGAACACATCTGTCCCACGCTGAAGTGTAACGGGGAAACCGTGCGTTCCGTACAGGCGAAGCACTACCCCTCCCCCCCCCCGCCCCCGGGCGCTACACTCCCCCCGATAGTTGGCATGCGCGACACGCGAGCGTTGCATAAGTGTTGCATCGCAATAATCACGATATTGCCGTCGGAAGACGTAATCTCCGATGACACTCGCGGCTATCGGATCCATCGGTTCACCGACACATCGTTTCGCAATCGACCTCGCAGCGTTACGTAACACTCTAATACGCTGAATATAATCACACTTTCCACGAGACTCCCGCCGGCTTAGCTTCTGAAAGCGTAATCCTCCTCGAGTAGTAGCGTACAGCCCGGTCGCATGCAAAAATTCCCTCGAATCCCCTCGCCCCCTGGCGAGGAGGACGGTAGCCTCCCGGCCAGCCGTCTGACCCGGAGCCGTCGTCGACCCCCTCTTGGCACTCACCTTCCAAATTCTTGTTCCTCGCGAGGAGCGCCAGCAGGACGTCCTGGTTGGGCGCCGCGTCGGCCAGGTCTTCGTCCTGATGGGTCGACGGCAAGGTCGGCCCCAGTGGCGGCATGGCACCCGGCGGTGGTCGCGGCATCATCACCGGGGGGCCCGCTGCACCGAGCGGCAGGGCCAGGCCGCCGGACGTGTGGTGCAGGGAATTGTGGGCCGCGATCGGGCCGCTGCTGGTCAGGCTCGGTAGCGTCGCGACCGGCGGCTGCACCGCCGCCGACATGGACAGGTCGACGCTACCCAGCAGCACCGGACGACAGCCACCGGAACCGCTGCCGCTCACCGCCGGGAGGATACCGCCGCCCCCCGGCAGTGGTGCGTACGGCAAGTACAGCTCCAGTCTAAGGGCGAGCTCGAGCAACCGCGTCAGGAGCAATCCGGCTCGACCGGAGTCGTCGCTGCCCTCGCGCGACTATCTCGCCGTGGGCAGCGGCGATCTACCTTCTCGGGGACGCTGCGAGTCGCACGGGAGAGACCTCCGCGGACGCGGATCTCGATGGGGGCGAGTTGCTGGCTCGGAAGTGCACGAGAGATGACTCATGCGTGTCGCATCTTCTCCCCGCGCTCGCCGGTCGGGCGAGGAATCGTCGTGGCTCGTGGTACTCGGAGGCCTTCCCGAGCCGTCACTGCCAGGTCTGACGAAGACGCGTGCTGCAGGCGATTCGCCTTTGGAGGGGTCGCGCGTGGTGGCTACGTTATCGTTGCTCGGGTGCGCCAGCAGCGGCCAGCTTTCGCGCGCCGAGCCTGCTCGTGCATCAAGGCACTTTCCTCGTTGAGGTGAGATCGCAACTGTGGAGCGGTTTCGTATTATCTGCAGGCTGCACCGCGAAGTAGGAGTACCGCAGTCGACGCTCTCGCGGACCGTCGCTCGGCTTCGACGAGCGCGACACAGTCCGACGTGGAAGGAAATTCCTCGCGCGCACCTGCTCTCGCCGAGCAGGCATTCAGTCAACTTCCTCCCACGACCCACGCGAGTTCCACGTTCAAGTGGATGACCCAACGTCGCGACTCGATACTCGCTGGGTGCTCACTGAGCCAGCCCCTGTGATCAAACCGATGAACGATTACTGATCACACTCCGTCGAGCGATCGAGCGCTCGTACAGTCATCAATCATTTGCGGCTTGCACTTGCTGTTGCGCGAGCCGCCTCTTCGCGGAGTTCAGTCGACCGCTGCTCGTGGGTGAACGACGAAGCTGCCACGAAGAGCAGCTTCTCTCCTCGCGCTCTACGAGCTCGAAGTTGCGCGAGACTCGAGTAGGCTGCGAATAGTCCCAGCGACGCCAACACGTGAGCCACGCGCCACGATTTGTTATGATCAGAGTGCCTCGCAACCGGCGAGCGCGTCTATTCCACAGTCGCGACGCGACTTTTCCCTCCAGGTTGCCGTCGAAACTCCGCTCATGTCTTTCTGCAGCAACCGATACACGTCGTTACACACAACGGAGGCACCGCACGTCGAACGTGAAGAGCGTCTCTGAGCAAAGTCCCGATCTTGAAGTTCCGCACATATTCCGACTAAGTCAGCTGGTGATCGATCGTCGCTCTCCGTCCTTCTCCGCTCGATCCTCGAGCCTCCTAAGATCGATTCGTCCGATCGCAGTCTCAGGCAAGAACGCTCGCACCCGCAAGGCCGCAAGGCCGACGGGCAAGGCTGAGCAGCGCGTTCCGCAGTCCGACGGCCGTAGTCCGATCGCGAGAAGTTCACTTCGCCGGCGAGTCGCGTGTCACTTGTTCAGCTCGCACCTGCTACCGCTTCCGCCACACCCGCGAAAACGTACGACGAGGTCGAGCTCGCGTCGAATCGAGTTCGCGTCCAGCCGCGCACTCCAGTCGACGATCGGCGTCCGGAGATCGGCGAGCGGGGCCGCGGCCGCTTATCGGGCCGCTCGCCAGACCGGGTTTATCGCGACCGTAACCTTGAAGAACGTAGCGCCGATCTCGCGCCGATCTTGCCGGACGGAGATCCGCCGAATCGGAGGACTTCGACACAGCTCGACACGCGCGCCCGGCTCTCTATCGTCCGGCTCTGTCACTTCTTCTCACTTCTCCGGATAAAGCGCGCTGATAAAACGTTCTCTTCCACGTCCGACCGATAATACGCGGGGTGATAAGGTGTTTACGCGCGAGAAGCGGCGCGTGTCTTCTCGGAACGAGATTGCGCCTCGAAGCGGCCAGTGCAATTTTCTCCTTTTGCAAATTTAGTCAGCGCGCACACGTGCGCCGACTTGCGGCCGTTCTTCCACTCCAGTGCTGCTTCTTAGCGGAGTCTCTCTCCTGGCAAATCGTCGTGGCTTCTCAGCCTCAAACGGTGAAATCCTCACACGCTGCCCTTCGCTGATTATTGTCCCTCTGCGACAGCGTCTTCGATCACTCTCCCACAGCCCGGAGATATCTTCGACGAGACGCTGCTCGCGCGAGAGAGGCTGAGATTCTCTCTCAGCCAGCGCCGAGAGCGGACTCGATCGCGGCCGATAACACCGCTGGGGGTTCCTCGCCGATCGGAGGAATCCGATCCCCCTCGAGTCTCATCGATATCGCAGTCCCGGTAGCGAGACGCTTTTTGCGCGCGTGTCGATGTAAATCTCGCGCCGAGGATCCCGACGTGAGTCCCGACCGGCGATCGGAGAAAAACGCGGAGGATCGCGGCCGATCTAGTCTTCGTCTGCCGATCTCCTCCACCGAGTATCTCCGCTCCGGCTCGAGTATGCGGTCAGCCCCGTCGGCCGGTAAGAAACGCCGAATTCCGCGGCCTGCTGATCGCGATCTTCGACCCGCCACGTTGTCCTGCCCGTTTTTTCCTTCCCATCGGCCCCGTCCCGCCTGCCTCTACGTGCGCGTTCGATGACACTCCGCAGTGACCGTCGCTGATCCTCCTCGCCCGGCCCGGTACTCTCGCATCCTGCGTCCGACCAGAAGCGCCAAAAATGGAGTTGCTCCGTGGAGTAGCTCTGGCTGGAGCTCGTGCGAGCAACCACGACCGCGGGGATCGACGATCGCTTCTCGGCTCTTACGGCTCCGGCAGAGGACACGTCCCGAGATTTCGCACTTTGGACCTGGAAACGCTGAAGCCGGGGGTGCTGAGCTGAGCCGGTGGTTCCTCAGCGAGTTCCGGCGCTGAAGCGAGAGTGGAGTCGTCGTTCTCGAGAGAAACGTTCCTACCGGAATCAACCGGAATCACTCACTCGTTCAGCTCCGAATATTGCTCGAGGTAAACGAGACGCAAAGGTGTACGGAGCTGTAAAAGGCGTATCCTCCAGCGGCAGATCGACGCGCGATCGATCGATCTGCGGTGCGCTGGAAGGTTTCCCGCTTCCTGCTCTCGGCACTAAAGCTTTCCAGCACTGAGCGGCGCGCTGAGACGACTGATCGCTCCTCGGCTCCTCGCGAATTATCCGGAGCCGTCGGCCGGTCGTCTCCTCGTCGCGGACCACTCGTCACCACTGTCATGGACGCGGGTCCAGGTGTTGCGATCGTCGCTGCCCGATCGAGGATCGACGCGACGCGATTGAGGAATGTGCGATTTGATTAGCAGATGCCGCGGTACTATGGAGCCGGCTTCAGCCTCGGCTCGGCGTAGCACCACGACGCCAGCGGGAACCGAGCTCGCGGAGGACACGGAGGACGCGCGGTAGGTGGAGGTGGTCGCGCACCAGCACCGGACGCACCGTCCGAAATCGTGCACGCAGCTATCGGAGGAGAGGCTGCCACCCTACCATCCTCGACCACCACCGAGATCGCCGCCGCTGCCGCCACCGCCACCGCCGCCGCCGCCGCCGCCGCCGCCACCACCGCTTCCGACATTACCGAGAGAGAGAGAGAGAATGAGTGAGGGGGGGAGGGGGGAGAGAGAGAGAGAGAGAGAGAGAGAGAGAGATGTAGACAGATAGAGAAAAAAGAGAGAGAGGGGGGTGCGTCGGTGGGGGGAGTCTTGGCACGCCTGCGCCCCGTTTGCAACTTGTATCCCCCTCGCAAGGTAGCGCGGAAACGCACACCGAGATACAACCTTGTACAAGATTTCGAGATGGTTTACGATACGAGGATGGGCCTCGCGAGCCCCGAAGCGTAGTTTTCCAGTTCGAGCGCGATGGACTTCGCATCCGTCGGAGGTGGAAGGAAAAATGTGACCGATCGCGATTAAAGACAGCCGCAACGGCGCGCGGACGCGACGGTTCTCGCAAATCGTGGAGGGAAACTCGCGGAATATGCAAGATCTCGCAGGAACTCGAGGACGTGAGGGTACGTTTTCTCGGAGGAAAAAGGCTCTCCCTGGAGAGAGCGTTTAATGCTTCGCTTCGACGAAGCATTAAGATGCTTGGAAAATGATGAGACTAGTTGCTGACTGAATTTTGGAGATTCGAATGACGTTGGAATTTCAGTTTCTTCATTCGGCTGCTCACAGCTGCCGAAGATCGCTTCATTCGATGGTTCGAAGGCCGCGTTTGTGTGTGAATTCTTCCGCAAGGGTAACTCGATTTCAGCCGCCAGATTGGGAACCGCCATTCCAGTCACGTGATACAGTTAATAATTAATATTAAAGTGCTCTCAGACATAAAAGAACCGAGAGTGCCGTAGTAACCGGCGCTTTTAGGCTCCTACTTGTACGTTTCGCGTTTACTACGACTATATTTCACTCTCGTATACGGATTTTGCGATATAAACGGGACGATGGGGGTGGAGATCGACGATGCGCGTACGAGCGCGACGTTTATAGAGAAGCGTGGGTTATCGATAATATTAAGCTTTTACCGCTTTTCTATATAAGAGTCGCTGCAGAAGTCGAGGAGCAGGGTAGGCGAGAGGGAGAAGAAATAGTTATTGCCTCGGGTATACGACATTTTACATCGTCGAGCGAAAGAAGCTAAGCACTTTTCTCGGCAGCTTAGGAAAACGCGGCACATCGAATATCAATATGAACGTTGCGAGTAATTGTTAATTTACCCCATCCCGCTTCTCGCACGTCGTCGAAATTGTCAGAGTGTTGATCGATACAAGCAGCGGATTGAGTAGAACGTCCGTCCATGCGAAAGATCCTGCTTGAACTTTTCAGTCTCCGCCGGTATTTGCATAGAATTAAAGAGTAAAAACGTCGCGTTAGAGTAATCACAGCGGAATTACATGTTACTGTTGGCCTTAACATCAAAGATGTCTTCCTGTGTTTTCATCGTCTGCTACCCACGCGACCACACTCGTCATTCTGACGTTCAAACGTTCAGCTTCTTTTGTTTCGCGAGAAGTACACTCCGGAAGAGCTGGCAGGAAAGAAGGAGGGGAGGATTTCCCCGAAATTTCTCCCCGCTCAAAGTTCTCGTCGTGCATCCCTTTGCATCGCAAGGACGTGGAGGAGAAAAAACGTCCGAAAAATTGCGAGCCAACCGGCAATTTTCAGCTCACCCCTCACCCGGTTTGCGTCACGTTTTTTACACGGTTGATACCCGCGCGGTTGAACCCCCCGGCATCCGGACTGTGTTCTAATCTATTTACGTCTAACACAAACGACAAATCACGCGGCAGTGGCGTGCATTATTAATAACTCGAAGGAGGGGTGGGAAGGGGAGGAAAAAGTGCGGCCGGACTTCCGCGAACATCGCGAAAGTTCCGCAAGAAACAGGACAAGATAGTATCGCGCTAATCAAGACCGATGGTCAATAATGGCGGCCACGGGCTGGTCGGTCAACCCAAGTCCAACCTACCCTTCGGGCGTCGGGCGTGTACGGGGTGGTTTAAGCCACCACCGCCGCCGCCGCTGCCGCCGCCGCCGCCGCCGCCGCCGCCGCCGCCGCCGCCGCCGCCGCTGCCGCCACCATCACCCCCCACCACGACAGGTCGACAGGGGTTGATCCTGGCCGGAGCTCTGGAGAGCGAAACATATTTTTATTGTAGCTAGGTGAATCACTGCTACGGAACATTTCTCTGTGTGTTATCTGACCTGCGTCTATGCGAGCGCGCTTTTACGCGAGCGTGTGTGGGCTCTCTCTCTCTCTCTCTCTCTCTCTCTCTTTGCTTCTTTTTCCTTTTTTGCTCTTCTTCTTTCCTCTCTCCCCATGTCGTTTGTTCTCGTTGCTGCAAAGTGCATGCGGGCTTGCTGCATCGCGCGCGCGATCCTGCCGAGCGGATTTCTCGCGCAAGGCGGAAGAGAATGCCGCTCCGCGAGCTTCGATTCGGATTACGAGAGCGCGCGGCTCCAGGTCTCTGATGCTCGTTGCCTCGCGTGTTAATTTCAGTTCCGGCTATCCGCGAAGATCGCTTCGCCGTTCTATCCGTCGCGTTCCGACGCGCTCGCGGATGATGCGCATGACGCGAAACGCGACTAAGCGTATTATTCAGGGACTATCGACGTCTGGCCGGGCTCGAGGGACGGGACGGGAAATTAGCCGGTCTTTTTCCGCTCCTCCCCCTTCCTTCCTCTCTCTCTCTCTCTCTCTTTTTTTTTTTAGATTGTAGGAATAAAGCTCGTTACATGCAGAATACATGTTGCGCGCGTTGGTTGCGGCTGCATCGGAAAGAGCATTTGCGAATGGCTCGTATGTACACGCGTGTGCCGTGTACATGGCAGCACATATGCTTGATCCCAAGTACATACCTGCCTCCGCGTATTCGCGTGCACACCGCCAAATCGCGAGTTCATGCATTCGCTCGGTGCTACGCACGTGTGAGTTTACCTTGCCGGCCCCACGCGTGTGTGTACCTACACGTACACCATTGCGCCCTAGCTAAACACACATAGGAGGTTTGATCAAAAAGTAAGGAGAATTTTTAATTTTCTCGGAAAGTATTTATTTAATCCTCCAATGTTTATCCCATCTCCTTCAAAGTGGTCCCCCTGTGATATTATACGCTTATGCCAACGTAGTTCCCAGTTTGAGAAGCACTGGTGTTTTCGCCTCTTTAGGTATCCTCTTGAGCTGGATCTGCGATTTCGCCTTTATCTCATCTATCGTTGAAAAACGTTGTCCTTTGAGTGTCCTTTTGAGTTTGGGAAATCGGGAAAAGTCACAGGGGGCCATGTCTGGAGAATAAGGTGGTTGCGGCATCACAACGGTGTGGCGCCGAGAACTGTTGGATAAATCGTTTGATGTTCGAAACATTAGTAAAAATCGCTTCGCATGAGCCGTATGAAGTTCCTATTTCTTCAGCAACCTCTCTAATGGTGATGCTTCTATTAGCAAGCACAGTCTCTTTAACTTTTTCCACGTTTTCATCACTGGTGGACGTGCTAGGACGCCCAGACCTCGCGTCATCTTCGATGTCTTCTCGGCCTTCCTGAAAGCGTTCGTACCATTCATGAACTCGTGGTTGTGATATAGTATCGTCGTCAAAGGCCTTCTTCAACATTTTGAACGCTTCGCTGCACTTAATTCCGTTTTTAACACAAAATTTCAGACAAACTCTCTGACCCAACATTTTCGTCACACAAAAAATCGCCAAACATACTGAATTATACGTCTTGCTCATTCGCTCGCCAAACACAAACTAAGCGTCGCAGCTGCCTGAAAACTGACGTCACATACGTCACTGGTAGTGCTACCAACATACAAAAAAAGAATCAACTGAATAGACAAGATACAGCGCGCGCAGTTTCAAAATTCTCGTTACTTTCTGATCGAACCTTGTACACCATTGTGCTCTAGCTAAATACGTGCGGCAGGCATTAGAAGCGAGATCGAGATCGTTTTATCCTCTTCCTCTTTTTCTTCTTCTTCCTGGAGCGCGAGTGCCGGAGAAGGCGAACCGCAGAGCATGATAATTGTTTATTGAGCATGACCAAGGGTCTCCCGACTCGCGTTAGGATTTCGGGGAGGGACCATAATCTGGGGCCTCGCTATGGTATTCAGCATCGAATAACGCGCTCGATCGACGTCACTCCAGACCGAGAATCCCAGGAAGGACAGTCGGATAGTCCCGAGCGAATAATAGGTTAGGTTTACTAACCGCGCCTCACAGGCGCAGCGTCCGCGAGAGGCTCTCGCGATCGCTCGCGATTCTGAGCTTTAATCAAGGAGAGTTCCGCACCGCCGCCGAGTCGATGTAAAGAATCTGTAATTAAAATTACGATCGACGGAGACAGCGGCCCGTGTGAACGCCGCTGCTTTTACGCACACACGCACACACGCGTACACACGAGGATTGCGCGAGGATTGTTACAGCGTACGTATCCACGTGTCGCGTAAACGCGTTCGCTTAAACTCGCTCGTACGGCGCCCGCGTGTGTCCGCCTTGGTGTGTATGTGTGTGTGTGTGTGTGTATGTGTGTATGTATGTGGCGCGCGTTTGCGAAGGCGGACCCGCGGGGGTGACCGGATCAGTCGTTGGGTGCACTCAACGAAATTAAACCTACGTTCCTCGACCTCGGACCCAACGTCGCAGTCGCGCGCTATCGGGAGAGAGATAGAGATACATCGACGGCTTTCGTCGCGTTTTGCACGCGCCGCTTGAAAGCTGCCCGTGCGTAATTCCGGCCACGCAGCGCGAATCTTAACCCTTAACCCTTCCCGTTCCGCTATCGCGCACGTACTCGATCTTGCGGAATCGGGCTCGGGCCGGGATAAAATAGATAAACGGCAGCGCTTCTTTCTTTTTTTATGAGACTCCATCGTCTCCCCGGATCTTGCCGCGGCGAAGGACGTTGTTGGGGTCAACATACGCTTATTGGCGGTCGCATGATTTGCAAGGCACTGAGTAATCAGTGTGTCTTTGTCGTTTGTTCGGGTCCCGATTAATATAGGCGCGTATATCCCTCCTATCTCCTTAATGAGATCGGTCAATTTACCGATGGAATAAAATCTGCGTCTCCAAGGGGTTGCTTTACGCGCGTCTTCAGTATGCAACGCGCAGAATAATGCTACACCTATCGGACGTTGAAATACGAAGGAGGGAAGAGACATGTTTTCTTTTATTATTCTACGGAAACTGCTATATGGAAGAATATTTATTATAAAAGAGATTCGATAAACAAGAAAAATAATCGTCGTTGTTGCGCCGCACAGAACCATCCCCTAAGTGACTCGATGGGCAAAGTTCTTCAGGTACGCCAGCCGTGAAACATCCTCGGCATTTTCCTCTTTCCAGCAGTTTGCCAGTTATCCAAATCGAGATTACGACGTGTCGTTTCAGGTGTCGCCGTTTCTTGTCACAAAAGTCAAAAGTTGCGCAACAAAGTTCGCGATGACCGGGCTCGGCGCAGCACACAGCCGAGGAAAGAGAATCATTCTTGCAACGACGGAGCGTTGCATAACGGAAACGGATAGCGCGGGATGGTTAGCGCGAGCGAGCGGCTCGAAAAGCTCGAAAAGCTCGAAAAGCCCGAAAGAGAGTGTCACGTTTCCATGGTAACCTGGCGCGGCAACTCCGCCCCTGGCCTCGCTCGGTTCGATATCCTCTCGTCTCTCTTCCCTGGCGCCCAACGTCAACGTGCTCTACATTTTTCCAAGCCGAAGTCGAACCCGCGAACCTCGTACGAGACTAGAGTGCCGGAGACGATAACAGTCTTCCTACTCCGGAGGGGGAGAGAGAAAGAGAGAGAGAGAGAGAGAGAGGGGGCGGGGAGGAGGAGAGAGACGCGCTGTCTCTCTCCTCCTCCGGAAGATCCTCCGCATTCGCGACGCGCTTAGTCCGTGACGATCTTCTCCGGATGGCGAACGCGCGAATCTGATGTGTGCGACTTGGACAAAAAATGTTATTCCTGACAAGAGTATAACAAAAATGGCGCATAGGCTGGACCACGTGTATCTCATGTCCCTCTTCGCTTCTACTCCGCCGATTGACTTCGATATTATTCCAGTTTGCAACAACAGAACAGACAGATAAAGCACGCTTGTCTCTCGATTGTTTGAGTCGAGAGAACGCGCCTCTCTGGCGGTTCTCTGATTTAGTGGCTCGCGCGCGGTTACGCTCGGCAGACAGTTCGGAAAATCTCCGCGAGCCGAGCCGCGGCTGTATCTCACATCCGCGAGTCAACTCGTGCGAAGAAGCCCGCGTCTGAATTTCTCGAGGACGCTCGGAAGTGGGTCAAGCGGCTCGCAGTAAGACCGGCGAGTCGCGCGACGCTACCCCCTGGGATTCCCCTTGTTTGACACGTAGGCCTCCACGCATTTCCCAAATTGAATGGGCTTCGAGAGGGCGCGCGAGAGGCACTCCCGGTGCGCTAAATTTCACAATTTACCGCGAATAATCCCACGCGATACGAACATTAATATCCAAACGACGACGCCGAATCGATACGAGCCGCGGCGGCGGCGGCGGCGGCGGCGGCGGCAGCGGCGGTGGCGGAGGCGATGGTGGCGGCAGTGGCCTCCACCGAAAAGGGCAAACAAATTCGCCCACGCTTTCATCGCGCGTTCATCCATTCTGCTCGCATTCCTCTCCGATATCCCGTTCTTCGTCCTCGCGCGCGGCCCATCTTGTCCTGTCCTCTCCAATGCGCTTTGCCGCTGCAACTGCGTACCCCTTCCTCCCTGCCGCCTTTCTCCCTCCCTCCCTGCCGCCTTTCTCTCTCTCTCTCTCTCTCTCTCTCTTTCTCTCACTCTCTCTCTCTCTCTCTCTCTACTCGTTCCTTCTCTGACTTCCAGAGCATGTGCTCTTTCACGTGCAAAACGTCCTCACGATTGCCCTCTCTCTTTCCCTGTGTCGTCGCTCCTTCGCGCTTCTTCTCTCTTCCACCCCGTCCGTCCCTCTCTTCCTCCCTCATCCCTGCGCGGCCCCTTTCGCTTCGCCCATCGTTTCCATCTCGCCGCCACTTCGAACTTCTGCGCCCGGGTGCGCTGCCACCCTGCCGTGTCCACCCTCTTTCACGTCCCCACACCATCTTCTCCTCTTCCTCGCTTCTCTCCTCTCCTTTCTTCTCGCGAGGATGCGCGCGTTAACACGTGCGCGCTCGCGCGCGCGCGCGCGCGAGTGCGAGCGATGGGTGAGAAAGAGCACGGATGACATATGCAGAACGTAGCCACCTCTATATTTTACGCGAGGCTGTTCGCAGGAATTTACGACGCTCTGCCACCGGCATTCTTCTCCTATACCTACCTACCTACCTACCTACCTACCTATCTACCTATCGTGTTGTTTCTTCCTTTCTCGCCACCGCGCGCGGCTTTCCCCGCTCGATTCTCCCCGCTCCTCTTGCTGCCCCACTCGCGCGGGGCCTTCAGCCGATTTGCTCGCTTTTTATCTTTTTCTCCGCCCGCGCTTTCGCTCCTTCCTCCTACGCTGTCTTGTACCTCTCACCTCTCGTGAGGCGTCACCCCCGTGTCGTTGTTACCCTTCCTCTCGCGAGACAAATATGAACTCGTTGTTTTCTCCTCGACGTAGGGTTTTCGCCGTTCGACGGTCTCTCCCTCCCTCCCTCCCTCCCTCTCTCTCTCTCTCTCTCTCTCTCTCTCTCTCTCTCTCTCTCTCTCTCTCTCTCTTTCTTTCTCTTGCTTTTCAGTCAGTCTCCGTATTTTTCTTCCCCACACAGCTTCCCCACTAGCTTCGGCTAGTTAGTGTGACTTCAAGCTCCGAAAAGTGCGTAACAAAGGATAATCTTGAAGGGACCTTTTCTCTTCGAGGGATTTCCTCTGTTCGAAAGTTTCTACGTGCGCTGGTTCGCTTGCCTCTACCACGACTATTTCCTCGATCTTTGCTTTTCCCGTTTCGCTTTTCCCCTCTTTGTCTTGCGGTTCTTTCTTCTTCGCTGCTCCTGGCGGCGAGAGCCGGAGGAACTTCTCTCTCAATTATGAACATCCTTCTAACAGATCACGATACCTCCTTCAATTCGGCTTCTAAATCTTCAAATTCCGTCTAACCGCGGCTCGTTTCGTCCACATCTACCCAATTCACAAAATGGAGGAGAGAGAGGTCACTCGTGAATCTGGAAAAAATGGCGAGAACCGCAGATAGGCACTTCCTTTCTTCCCTGCTCTCATCGCGATCCTATCGCGTAAGATATTGATAATGATAATAAAGCCCCGCGATAGAGCGGTGCCTTTTGATGAATAATCCGCGACGTCTTCCGGCATACACCGCTCGAGCGGGCTTCTTCATGCCGAGCACAGGAAGAAGAAGCGCGCACCTTTGATTAACGCACCTCCGATCCGCCGGCGCGTTATTTGACTTTTTAACAGCCGGCGCGAGTCCTGTCTATGAGCCGCTCCGGGCGAACTTTCAGCGAAGATCAAAGAGAACTGGTCGTGACTAAGGAACAGATTAAAGATACAGCCGCGGCGGCTCGGCGTTCCCTTCTCTCTCGCTCCTTTGCTTTACGGAAACTTACGACGCTTTCTTTATTAAAAGCTAATAAACCGGGCGGAGACTGTGCGCGCGCGCGCCGGAACCTCGGCCGCGATTTCATTAATTGCGCTTTTAATATTGCAAGCGTTGCAGACTGAACGATTCGCTGCGCGCTGGTCGCTAAGTCGCCGTCGAAATAATGTAATCGTTAATCAGACTCTCTCTCCCCCGCGTGAGAGACGACGCGATAC